TCGAAAAACAAAAAACATTTTTATTCGGCCAAACCTGGGGTCGCCTTTTTACATTTTTCGGTGACACGTACATTCGACTATATTTTGTTGTTTTTTTTTTAGATCCACTGGAATAATCAAAATACTTCCTTAGTAGAAGTTTAACCATTTTTGTTAGCTTGAATTTACTGCCGTTAGAGTGATAAGATCTAAGATCTGGTGGGTAAGTGCCAGAACGGGGTACTTGAGGTCAATGAACTTTGGAATAAAAAAAAAATTTCCTCGAGAGAAAAGCATCGATACATATGATATGAAAATGTAAAATGGCGAGCCCTGAGTTCGACCAAAAAACAATTTTTTCGAAATTGTCTTGCAAAAATACTTTGCATACATAAGTATTTGTGTCATTTTGACAACACAACCTAAGTGACTTTGAAGGTTTAGTTAACAATGTATAAGTTTCAATTAAAAAATTTTATATTTTTAATCAACTTATATTAAAAGCGCATCTTAAACTACACATACATATGTGTATTTTATCGTTAAAATATTGTTTAAGAACCCAATAAAATATTGCATTAAATAGAAAATCGTCTAACTGGAGATAAGCGGTATTCTCAAAATGCCATAGACATATTGAATTGAGGTTAACCAACCTACCTAATGCGTGGAGTCATAAGTTCAATAATGATTTACAAATCCTAGTCTTAAATGAAGTTTTAATTAGCTGTATGCCTTTTTATATGCTTTCAGTTTAGCTCAGCAATTGCTACATATCTTGTTATTTTAATACAATTCCAAGAGTAGGACGAATAATGGACGCTCACGAAATGGATAGCCTAATTTCGGCTGCACCAGAAAACGAAACAAAAACAAAACCATTATTATACCACAAATTAACATTTAGAAAATAATTATGTAAACAAAAAGAAAAGTGAAAATATTATGTATGTAAATTTGTGTGTCTGCCTGAGGGTGATTTGGAAAAAAACCAGCAATTACAATAAATGATTTGGTGTTAAACAAAAACGTTGTCTATATATATGTCTACAAAATTCTTTACCCATTCCATGAGTTGAAAAGCGATAAGTCGCACACATTTATGGTCCAACAACAACAGCGTTTGAAAACTAATGTAGGTAAAATTTGCCGGACAGTTAATAGTCTTTCTTTCCATGTACATATTTATGCCCATAGAAACTGAAAAGACTATTGGTCGTTTTTTAGCTCTGTTATGATCCAAATGGTATAAAAAGTGGAATATCTTCAAAAGTTAATTCAAATAACTATCTTAACAGGCAACGAAGGGCTTAAAGGCTTGCAAAATTAAGCATCGTTTCGTAGGTCCTTAATTCGACATGAATTTTGCCACAAAAATACATCGATAATTTAACAACATCACAATGCCACACATACATACATACATATTCGCACTGGAGAGTGCTCATAAGCGACAATTTGTTAAGCAATCGACCTGTACGCCTTCTCCAAACAAAGCTTATCTTCCACAAAGTATTTCATCATACCCAAAACGATAATCTTCATATGTATGTATGTATATTCATCATACACAAACACTACAATAATGACCCCTAATAAAAATCGTTTGTCTACACCTAAATATNCGATAATCTTCATATGTATGTATGTATATTCATCATACACTACAATAATGACCCCTAATAAAAATCGTTTGTCTACACCTAAATATATGCCACATTAACTGTATCCACCATAATATTTTTCTTGTGTTTACATTCACCCTGTAGTAAAAATTTAAATAGGTTAATAGAAACATACATAGTAACAGATTGACTGGTATAGCTTATTGCGAAGGCTAGCTATCTCACTAACTGGATTAGCGGTTGTGGAAACTGATTAGTTGAACAAGTTTCGATGCTGCAGCCAGCGACATCTGTCTCCGAAGTGTGAAGACCTCGGATTTTGATTCTGAGACCGCCTTACAGATTTTTCAATTAAATAAACACGTCGAGCCCTACCCACGAGAAGCGAAATTTTTTTTTAATTTTTTTCAAGATGCTCTAGGAGCATTTCTGCATCAAAAAGAAAATTTCGAAAAAAATGGCGCTTGCATTTTTTTTGACAAAATAGAAAATAAAAACATGAAATTCTCTTCTGCCCAAGAAATCGATGCTGGAGTATCTCTTTCCTGACGACTATTATAGCTCTTTTAACAGTGCAGAGCTTGAGCTTGACTAGTATGTGAACTAGTAGTTGCTGATGCATGGGCTGCAAATTTATATTTCATAGGACGTGGCCGTGTTAAGAATATCAGTTGCTAATAGAAAACAGGAAAAAGAAGTACCAATTGAAATGCATTAGACAACTAGTCGTAGGCTAGTTGCTTTCATTGTGGACCATTGCATATAAATATCTACATTTCGCCATGCAGCGCGTCCTGTCACTCAGTGTGTACTTTGTAATATTTCAATTTTAAATTTACCGCCATTTCCTCACCCACTCAAGTGGTCTACAAAAAAAAAAATATATATATATATATATATATATAGGTATGTATTTCTTTCGCAGAAGTTCGCTTGAATATTGTCTAAATGTACATACGAGCATGTAAATCCAACAGTTTGACAATTTAATTATGCATATAATTAACTCTTTAGCCCTCGCTGTCACCGTCACGAACTCTAATGATTATTTACAATTTAAACGGCGAAACAGTAAATAGTATTTACAAGTGTTGTAGACAGGCAATCACAAACAGTTGAATGAATGGGATATTTTTAAAGCACAAGCGCTTATAATGTATATATATAAGTACAAATGCACCTATGTATATTAAGAGAGAAAGGAGGGCAAGTTTTTAAAATTTTTGGACATTTTTAATACGAAAATTTTTTTCGTGGGTTTTTGGCTTGTGACACATTTAATTTTTTGATCAGTTTTTCTGACAAAAATTCGTTTTTCGTACTTACAAAAATACTTTTTATCCATGGTTTTTGATAAGAAAAAACTTCAAAACCAAATAACGGGGTCTTTTGTTTTTGTAAAAAACGAACAACTGCTTAGCAAAGTCATGGCTCTGTAAGTGAAATACATATTGCAATCGATTTTTTGTTGCTTTTTATCTATTTTCGAACAACCATTAATAAGGTAATACTTATCTAAAAAATTAATAAAAATGTAGAAAATAAAGAAAAAAGTAAGTACATACTTTGGAAACCTATAACTGGTATTTTTTTTGGAGAAAAATACATACATATATTTTAGTTTGAAGTAATTCAAAATTCTGATTGATTTTTTCCACAAGATATTGCGTATTTTTTCCATTTAAAAAAATTGCTAAATATGCATTGAAATGGCAAAAAGTTTATGCCATTTAAAAAATGCCATGAGGAAACAGACATAATGAAAAAAAAAGCTACGCAAGATCATCGGGAAAAACGTTTTCCAAAGTCACCGAAAAGTTTAGGCCACACTTAAAAATTTCACATTATTATACTAAAATTAAGTGCGCATACCCGAAATTTTCGTAAAACTGTTGATAAAAAAGTTTGAAATTTTTATGCAAATTCGATCAATTCATATTCATATATTATTTACTGATTGAACTGCATATATTAAAAAATAAATTTATATTTTTTTATAATTTACGAAATTTGACCTAATTTTTTTTTTAAAGTCGTGGTAAGGTTTGCGTGGCCACAAGTGTAAGTGGCATTTTTTTCTTTAATGCAAATACTTAGAAAAAACTGCATTCAAGTTTTTTCAATAAAACCTCAAATTAAAGTCATCCCCTTTAGACTTATCGGTCGTCAAGGGTTAAGATTCGTTCTTTTCTGTAAAAAATCTACTCATTTGTTCATAATTAATTTTTGCCTCAAAAATTTATCAAAATAACCATAGTGTGAAGGTTGCAATGGTGGTTTTAATCCGAAAAATAAATTCGCGTCTTGGACGTTTTTGTTGAGTAGGCTTTAAGCACAGCGTAAATAGTATTATGTGTAGGAAGGATGGAAGGATCGGGGGAGCAGGGCGAAAAAGGCAAAATCCAAAAATATTTTTGTAGCCCCTTATTGCAATTTAGCTGTCTGTGTAGACTCAGATCTAGCCAACGCGCGAAATTTCTCGAAAGTACCCATTATGCAGATCGACCTATCTCGGCAACCAGTACGAAAACTCCCTATCTCAGAAAACTTTTCAATAACACCCTATTTCAGAATTTGATTGAAGAATGCCCTATTTCAGAATTCGGTTCAAAAACGCACTACTCAACACATTTTCAATACATTTTCAGCTTAAATAGGACGTTTTTGAATCGAATCCTTAGATAGAGCGTTCTTGTATCAAATTCTGAAGTAGGGTGTCCTTGAAAAGTTTTCTGAGGAAGGGCGTTTTTGAACTGGCTGCCGAGATAAATAGATCGATATTCCACTCAGGTGTCGATATACTACTTTTGTAGTTAAATATTCGAATTCAGTTATATTTTGAAAGATTTTACAAAAAAAGATGGTTTGTGCAACTTACATATGTATATATGTATTATCTAAGCAAAATCTTTTCGCATAGATCACGGCCAGGAAAGTTGACCCTTTTATTGCGTTGCAGTTTGCGCACCGCTGCATATTTAAAGGCGGTGTAAATTTGATATCAACATGCTTTAAATGCCCACACGTAAACAAACACACATACCATACAAACATACATACATCATATGTATGTACATACAACCGAACAAATATTTGCCAAGGTGTACAAAAATTTGTTGACAAATTCTCACTGCGATTGGAGTTGTGAATATTACCAGCGGCACGAAATTCACCACCCTCAACATACAAGAATTCAATTAGTGCAATGCGACAAGGCGGAACGGTTGGCAGTAAAAATAAGTCGTAAAATTCATAGAAACGAAAGAATTAATATTTTGCTTTTAAAAATTTAAGTGTTCTTTTATGTATTTACATACATATGAATATAAATAATTTGTTAAAAAGGAAATTTGCATAATAATTAGTTAACAAAAAAAATTGTTTTTCCAATTAACGATGGAAATCTCCGAGCCTACGCTTTGCATTTTTTATACGAGCAAAGTTTTGGCGCTCGCACCTTTCTCGGTACGCAGAAACTCAAAGGGCGTGCTGGATATACGACGTAGTTACATGTTCTCGGTTTATTCGGCCGCACTGTGCCTAACAATGGGTAAATTTTCGAAATTAATTTGCGAAAAATTTGTGTACTTTTTTGTGACTCATTTTGTGAAATTTATTTAGTGTGTTTGACCTATCAGGGATTGTTATTCGATGCGAATTCGCAAGTGCCTGTTCGGTAAGTACTTTTTTAAAGCAGCAATGGTTACTTCTTTACTCAAAAACTTTTGCAGTGCCTTTTTTTGAAAGTATGTAGATCTGTATGTGAATATTGACATATCGTCACCCTAATGCCAGAAGCATGAAATTGCAAATTTATCAATTTTGCGTTATTGGGTTAACGACTTGATTAAATTTTGGATGTTCTGTGTTATACCAAAAACCGAGAATACCATGCGTACACGGAAATCTTTTCGATTGCAAATTGCATAAATGTATAGTTATGTAAGTCTCGTAAAACAAAAAACTTTCAAGCTTGATTTCCCAAAATTTGCATGTTTCTGGCATACGGGCGACGATATGTATGTATGTAGATGCTTGTTATTTTATTAAGTTGCAGTTAAAAGTAGTAAAAACCTGCTTCAACAAAATGGTAGTGCAAAATGGCACCGTTTTACACGTTCAAAAAAAGTAGTAGTAGACTTGTTTTGTATACATCACGACCCCTATTTCCGAATTTCTCGTAAGCGACAAAAGGTAAATTTTAGAGTTTTTTTTTTATTCTCCTTTAAACAGTGTAGAAATTTATTTGGATTTAA